CCTGTTCACTAACTCTCCCTTTCCAAGCTGTGATGATGTCTCGGTAATTTTGTGTCAATCATTCAATTTTTATGTTGGTGCATTATAATTTTGTACGCTTCTTAACTTCTACTCGAAAGTCAAAGAAGTATATAAGGTCAGGCGGGCTCGTGGAGAGAAATGTCCATTTCCTTGTTGATCAAAGTGAACGAAGTGTGTGAGCCAAGTTGGCACATTTGGATGAAGTATTACCATCTCTGGTATCGGTGAGTGAAACGTTTGGGTTTGAAGCCCTTCGAATTCAGAGGTACTCTCTAGTATAAGTAAATTCAAGGGCTGAAAGATGGTTACCACAATTATCCAATTGCTATTACTTTTACTTTTTTTGTCTTTATATTTCCAAAGCATTTGCGCTCTCTAAGCTTTTCCGCTTCTCTCTGCAACCCTTCCTTACTGCACTGCTTTCTATTTTCGGATTAGTTGGCGTAGGGTAAATCCTTGTCGACAAGTGCTCTGCGGGAGGTAGAAGCAACCATGTACGGTTTCGTCTCTTTTCTTCATTGCTAAAATAATAGGCCTTGGAGCTTATGCTATTTTCCTTTGGTGAATGTGTACTGCATGTCTTTTGTACATTATGGCGACAATGGCTTGAAAGGAGAGAAATGGAAATGTGCACAGCTTTGTTTTTCACTCCACTAGTGCATTACTTCCTCTCTGGCAGTGTTCTGCGTTACTTTTGCAAGGACCGTATAGAGTGGAGCCTTGATGACAAATGGTGAGCAGGATTTGGAACTAGAGAATTGCTTCGTTCCCTTTTTTATTTGTTCAGTGGCGGAACCGATAGGCACTGAAGCTTTTGCTCGTTCACTTAGGTCTTGTGTGGGGCAGCATCGCATGATGTTCTTGCGCGTATCATGGGACACTTTCGCGGTGTTTAGTGGTTTTCTTCTGCCTGCGTAGAGTGCCCAAAGTTGGGTATACCTTCACGTGGTCAGAAAGTATTTAGACCCCTAAATTTACACTTGTGAACATAGGAAGAGCTAATATTATTGCTAAGAAATATGCATTCTTATTATGACCTAAAAGCCAATTAGTGCGCTTGCTTCCAGACAGGATGGATGTAAACAGCAAAACGCATTCTTATCTTCTTTGAGCTAACCAAAGTACGAAGCAGCACAACGCCTGTCTTGTAAAAAAGGTGTTTTGATCGGTCGAATAGCAAATTAGAAGGCAAAGTTAATGCTGAAAATCTCCATAATTAGGCCTAAGGATAGCTGAAACT